GATTTTCTGGAGTCACAAACTGGCTGGAATTCTTACCTCTAGGCTTCTTTTACTAGAGAGAGACTACAATTGGCTCTTTATACAATTCCTAAGTGATAAAATTGCTTCTTGAGAAAGAGTGCATGGAGATATATATATATATATTTTTTTTGAGGTGGAGTTTCGCTTTTGTCACTCAGGCTGGAGTGCATTGGCATGATGTTGACTCACTGCAACCTCCACCTCTTGGGTTCAAGCGATTCCCCTGCCTCAGCCTCCTGAGTAGCTGGGATTACAGGCGCACGCCATCATGCCCATTCATTTTTTGTATTTTTAGTAGAGACAGGGTTTCACCATGTTGGCTAAGCTGGTCTCAAACTCCTGACCTCAGGTGATCCACCCGCCTCGGCCTCCCAAAGTGCTGGGATTACAGGCGTGAGCCACCACGCCCAGCTGAAGACTTCTTTTATAGCTGGTGTTCTGAAATTTCATAGTGATATGTAGTAAAGGAGGTATCTTTTTCATTAATTGCACTGGACATTCAATGGGCCCTTTTACACTGGGAATTCACATTCTTTAGTTTCTTTCTTATATTATTTACTAATCATTTCTTTGTTTTCTTGATTTTCCTTTTTCAGGAGCTATTAACCAGATTTAGTCATGAAATAATCTAACTTTCTTACCTTTTTTCTGATTTTCCCTTTTGTTGTCTTTTGGGTCTGAGAGATTTCCTCAACTTCATCTTTTAAATTTTTAAAGTTTCAGGGGATTTTTAGTTAGTTTATTTTTCCAGAGCTCTTTCTTGTTCTTGGATTTTCTCCTTTCCTCTCTTTACCTTCCCCTCTCCTCCCTTTCCTCACCTCCTCTCTGTCTTTTTCCCTTCCTTCCATGCACTGATCTTGTCTTAGGGATTCAATATCTTCTACTTCTAAAGATACTAATTGTAGTCTGTGTTGTTCTGTTATTTATTTTTAGTTTTCTGCCAGTGTCTATAGTATCTCTGTTTCTTTTGAGTTTCTTCTCTTCTAAGAGGGTAGAGGAATTTTTCTCCCCGTACAGTCATTTTTTTCTGGGACCATTGGATTTTTCCAGAGGAGAATCCACTTGTGTCCTCCTGCCCTCTGTTTAGCTGGCTGTTCTTCAAGTTGAGTGGGGTGACGGTGGTCTCCTGGTTCAGTAGGAGTCATCCATTTATCTTCATTTTTCAGTAGATGTCTTTGCCTTGCCTAGTGCTCTGGGACCTGGAGCCACTCTGGTTCAATTTTTCCCCCAGAACAAACCTCCAATGTCCTGCCATGGTAGGGGAAGGGGGTAGTCTGGCAGATGGGCTGGAGGAAGGAGTCCGGGGTTTAATCTTATGCCAAATTCTAATGCTCCTCACCCCTTTTCAGCCTCCTCGGTGATTACCATTTTGCTGCTTCACTGTCAGATATTCCTTAATTTCCTAGAGTATGCCAGCCCCCTTACCCTCTACAGCTCTTAGAGTATCCAGTCTATGAGTCCTTCTAAGGCTCTGCAGTGTGAAATGGCTCTGTTCTCATTTTCATCTCTTTCTGATGTCACCTGGTATTTACTTTCCAAATCTCTTCTAATTCTTCAGTCCATATTCCAGCTTCTAAGTTTGGTGAACAACTCCTGTCTGCTCTTCCCTAATTTCCTTGTCTCTTCTCTCACATACTTATTATAATGTGGTTTCAGAGTAAATAGAATACATTTGTATTTTAAACTATAAGTTAAATGGAAGATCTCTAACTTGCAGTTGAATTGAAGACTTTTAACATTATAAACAAACTGTGGTCAAAATGTGATGTGGCTCTACTCAAGGGTACTCAGTTACTGGCAGAACTGGAATAGAACTCTGAAAGTTTTGAGTTAGCTTCTGAGATGAGATTTATTGATAAGTGGGTTCAACTAAGTACTTTTCATTGTTGAGATTAAGGGCCTGAATCCTCCTCTTCATCCTTCTTTTTATTTTATTTATTTATTTATTTATTTATTGAGGCAGAGTTTCACTCTTGTTGTTGCCCAGGCTGGAATGCAATGGCGCAATCTCGGCTCACCACATCCTCTGCCTCCCGGGTTCCAGAGATTCTCCTGCCTCAGCTTCCCGAATAGCTGGGATTACAGGCATGCTCCACCACGCCAGACTATTTTTGTAGTTTTAGTAGAGACGGGGTTTCTCCATGTTGGTCAGGCTGGTCTCGAACTCCTGACCTCAGGTGATCTGCCTGCCTTGGCCTCCCAAAGTGCTGAGATTACAGGCGTGAGCCACCGTGCCTGTCCCATTTTACTTTAAAAACTAAAGTCTGCTTTGGGGTTTCCCAGTTACACGTAAACTTCGTTAGCCCATATGTTCATGAGAGAATCCCACTAGGACAGTCAGAGACTCATGGCAGCACCAGTAGAAAAGCCTCATCTGTTAAGATTGCTACCAGGGTAGTATGGTTGAACCTACCACAAACGGCATCCCTACCTGTCAACTCCCCCATCCCCTGCAGAGATAATGCAGCTTGAGATGTCATGGGCTGCAGTTCTAGCAAAAGTGCTTTGGAGGGAGGGAAAAGGAGAGGAAGGGGGCTGGCATACTCCAGGAAATTAAAGAATGTCTGAACGGTGAAGCGGCAAGATGGTAATCACTGCCAGGCTGGCTAATTGAGACTTGGCTTACAGGGCTGACAGCAGAGGAAGAACAGTAGTCTGGTTTCAGAACCAAGATTAACAGGAGAGAAAAAAGATCTAATTGGAAGCTGCATTAACTTTTTGAAGGGGCAGATAACCGCTGAGAGGCAGGGCAACCCTATTCATAGGTACGGGCTCATCGAGGGAAGGAAATAGAAGATTAATCCACTGTGGATTCTCTACGCTTGGACTGATTTAATTTGAAAGACCTCCTTCAAGTCTGCCTTCTCTTTGCTCCCTCTCAGGTCGTTTCTAGACATGGAAAGGTGGCGTTTGTGTTTCCCTTCCATGGAATGAAGCTTGTGGGGCTGAAAAGGGGTGATAACCTGGTGGTGTCAGAGAGGTGGCTGCGCGTTACTGCCAGATGCAAAACGTGGAGGCTCAGCGCTGTTCCAGGTCTCTTGGGACCTCCGGACAGACATGCACAGGGGCTGTAAAAGAACGATCGTCTCCTAGCTGCACCCTGGCCTGAGCCAGGGTCAGGGTAGCTGGTTTACAAGGAATTTGTCAAAGCTTTGCAGGGACTACATGTTTAAACGTTGGGGCTTTAAACATGGTAGGAAGGTATAGAGACAAAAAGCATTTAGAAAAGAAAAAGGGGTTACTTGCAAAGAGGTTTTGCAAGGGAGTCCAGGCTTTTAAAGATTAATCTCCAAGTAAAATATATTAGTCACTGAAAGAAAAGAAATCAAGATGACCAAGACTGCTTTGTATGTAGTATGTTCCCGGGATGCAAATAGCAGTTTTCTCACTTGATTATCATATACTGAAAGGTGATCATGGGAGGCCGAGGCAGGTGGATCACAAGGTCAGGAGAACGAGACCATCCTGGCTAACACAGTGAAACCCTGTCTCTATTAAAAAATACAAAAAATTAGCCAGGCATGGTAGTGGGCACCTGTAGTCCCAGCTACTCGGGAGGCTGAGGCAGGAGAATGGCGTGAACCCAGGAGGTGGAGCTTGCAGTGAGCCAAGATCGCACCACTGCACTCCAGCCTGGGTGACAGAGCAAGACTCTGTCTCAAAAATAATAATAATAATAATAATAATAATAATAAATAAAATTTTAAAAAGGCGATCATGTATCTGGAGACAGCAAGACTTTGGAAGCCAGCAATAAAGTTTTTTGTTGATATTTTTTAGGGAGTCCATGACCTAATGGCTCAACTTCTCATTTATTTTGAGAACCAGAGCTAGACAGGGTAATTCTGGTTTTGCTTCTTGTTTTGTTGTTATTGTTGATCTCAGGTACAAAGTGCCTTCTGGCTGTGGGGCATGGTTTGCAGTTACTCATAAAGGAGGCGCAGCAAGGTGTCAGTTTTGCTTTCACAGACACACCTAGTCCTTAATCCCCCCTAAAGGTGTTGACTTGATCATATCAGTTTGCTTAGCAGTTTTATGATTCATATCATTAATTGGCTGCTTTCTTTTATTTGACTGGTTTTACTAACCTAGGTATAAAAAGGGATGTTGATTAATGTACAAATTCCTTACTGTGATGTGGTTAATAAAACTAGAGTCAAAGGATACTAAGGCTTAGGAGCTAGTTTCTGTCTGAAAGCTTTATAAAGCCTTTAGGGTTGAATTTTTATTCATTTTATGTGCTGGAAGTACTTTTATTGCCTTTATTAACTTGTCTCCTGAGACCAGGAAGCAAGACCTGTCCAATTCTCCTCTCCCAGGTTTCACCATCAGCACCTATAACTGTAGGGGCTTCCTACAGCTTCCCACCGCTTCTGGCCAGGCAGAACATGGCATTTTTTACTATCTATAAGGCTAGGATTTCATAAGCTACAAAGCATGTGCCAGGCCAGATTTTTCTGTAGAAAATTTATAGGCATCATTTTCACATATGACGTACAGTTCCTGTTCCTTAATCATAGGCTTATCATATCCAATTAAATGAGATTTGTTTTTCCATGTGACATTTATGGGATGACTGTGGTTATAAATTCGATTTTTCCAATTATATTCCAGTAGAAAGCAGGACATATTCTTTTTTGTTTTTCCACATTTCTCCTTTTATTTCATTCTTAGTTAAGTGAAATGCTCTGCCAGGAGAAAACTTAAATGACTATCCAATGGGTAGTTTATTTTGTTGTTGTTTATTTGTTTAAATAATCTAGTAAATTCAGACACTTTTTGTTTTTACACAGTCACAAATGACATTATGTTGGTGTTTTTTTTTTTTTTTAATTACTCTTAAACAATGGTTAACTTAAACTTAAGCCAAAGTTAAGTTTATGATTTTCCGATTTTTTTACTTATCTTTCCTCTCTTCCCTACTTCCTCTCCTTAAGAACTCCATTCTTACCATTCTTATTTTCTCATTTATATTCCAGGTGAGGCTGTCAGGAATTGAAACCGGCCTTTTGTAAGGTATGTAAACTTTTTGGGGGTTGATGTTTTTCATTCAAATAGTCTAATATTAAGGGATATGAACTCCGCATTTTTTACTTCTAAATCTTATGCATCATTTACATGTTAACTTTCAAAATATTAATCTTGAATTTTCACATTTTTATGTGAGTTGGAATTATTACCCAATTAAATGAACATAAATTATACTGCTTAACGTGGATTGGAAAAATATCTTGGTGGGCTGTGTGTGTATGTGCACACATGTGTTTATATAAAACCAAATATCAACTTACAAAAACCAGTTCAGTCTTTTTAAAAAAATTTATTTCCATAGGTTATTGGGGAACATGTGGTGGTTGGTTACATGAGTAAGTTCTTTGGTGATGATTTGTGAGATTTTGGTGCACCCATCATCTGAGGAGTATACACTGCACCCTATTTGTAGTCTTTTATCCCTCACCCCCTTTCCCCCTGTATCTCCAAAGTCCGCTGTGTCATTCTTATGTCTTTGCATCCTCATAGCTTAGCTCCCACATATCAGTGAGAACATACGATGTTTGGTTTTCCATTCCTGAGTTACTTCACTTAGAATAATAGTATCCAATCTCATCCAGGTAGCTGCGAATGCCTTTAATTCATTCCTTTTATGGCTGAATAGTATTCCATCATATTACATATTATCTAGTGTATGTGTATATATATCCACTATATATATAAAATGTATATATTATATATTTATAAATAAAATGTTTTCTGGCTGTGGGGCATATATATCTACCACAATTTCTTTATCCACTCATTGATTGATGGGCATTTGTGCTGGTTCCACATTTTTGGAATTGCTAATTGTGCTGCTATAAATATGCGTGTGCAAGTATCTTTTTTGTATAATGGCTTCTTTTCCTCTGGGTAGATACTCAGCAGTGGGATTGCTGGATCAAATGGTAGTTCTACTTTTAGCGCCTTAAGGAATCTGCACACTGTTTTCCATAGTGGCTGTACTAGTTTACATTCCTACTAGCAGTGTAGAAGTTTTCCCTGTTCACTGCATCCACGCCAACATCTACTATTTTTTTTTTATTATGGCCACTTTTGCAGGAGTAAGGTGGTATCACATTGTGGTTTTCATGTGCATTTCCCTGATTGTTAGTGATGCTGAACGTTTTTCATATGTTTGTTGGCTATTTGTATATCTTCTTTCATGTCCTTAGCCCACTTTTTGATGGAATTGCTTGTTTTTTTCTTGCTGATTTGTTTGAATTCATTGTAGATTCTGAATATTAGTCCTTTGTCAGATGTGTAGATGTGAAGATTTTCTCTCACTCTGTGGGTTGTCTTTTTACTCTGCTGATTATTCCTTTTGCCTTGCAAAAGCTCTTCAGTTTAATTAAGTCCCAGCTATTTATGTTGTTTTTATTGCATTTGCTTTTGGGTTCTTGGTCATGAAATCCTTGCCTAAGCCAATGTCTAGAAGGGTTTTTCCAATGTTATCTTCTAGAATTTTTGTAGTTTCAGGTCTTAGATTTAAGTCCTTAATCCATCTTGAGTTGATTTTTTTATAGGTGAGAGATGAGGATCCAGTGTCGTTCTCCTATATGTGGCTAGTCAATTATCCCAGAACTATTTGCTGAAAAGGGTGAAACAGGACATATTCTTATTAAATCTATGTAAATAATATGATCATGGAAAGTAAAAGTTTTAGTAAAGCACTTTTCATAATAGTTAACCATTATTATTCCTATTTGAGTTGTTTTATACAGAAGGTCACTCAATTTGCCAGTTTTTATAGAATCATTCTTCTTAGAGTTTTTTCTGATAATTTATTAGCTTATATTGTTAAGATCTTTCATAGAATTTTTTTATCTGAATTCTGAGAGATTAGTTTGAAGATATCAGTTGGAGAGTGTTTCATTCTAGTTTAATATATGTATAGCCTATTAAATTGCAGTTTAAAGACAGATCAAGAAGAAATAAAAAGAGCTTTCTCGTATGTCCATCAACATACGTCATTACTCACACCTGAGTTAATTTCATTTGCTCCTAGATAATTAATTCTTATTTTTCTTAGATTAGTCAGCAGTCTACTTTAAAAAATTTATCTGTTTCTGGACTAAGAGAGTCCTGGAATTACTGACCTGGGACCCTGGTACAGATTGACAGACATTTGTTGGTGATGACAGTGTCAGCTTACCCTGGCAAACCTGCACCCCTTAGTCTATTGCTTTAATACCCCTAATTAAGAGAACATGAGACTTACTGAGGGTCTTCTGGTATTTTTTTCCAGAAGATTCCATGTCTGATATGCATTTTGTGGAAGGAATCTGTAAGTAAGTTTGAAGAAAAAGCTGAAAATACCTGTCAATGATAATGTTTTCAAAATTGGCTCCTTCTGGTGGGTTCTTGGTCTCGCTGACTTCAAGAATGAAGCCATGGACCCTTGTGGTGAGTGTTGCAGTTCTTAAAGATGGTGTGTCCAGAGTTTGTTGCTTCAGAGGTTCAGGTATGTCTGGAGTTTCTTCATTCCGGTGGGTTAGTGGTCTTGCTGACTTCAGGAGTGAAGCTGCAGACCTTCACAGTGAGTGAAGGTGGCGCGTCCAGAGTTGTTTGTTCCTCCCAGCAGGTTTGTGGTCTCGCTGACTTCAGGAGTGAAGCCGCAGACCCTTGAGGTGGGTGTTACAGCTCACAAGGGTAGCGCGGACCCAAAGAGTGAGCAGCGGCAAGATTTATTGTGAAGAGCCAAAGAACAAAGCTTCCACAGCATGGAAGTGGTCCCTAGTGGGTTGCAGCTGCTGGCCCAGGTGGCCAGCTTTTATTTCCTTATTTGGCCCCGCCTACATCCTGCTGATTGGTCCATTTTGCAGAGTGCTGATTGGTCCATTTTACAGAGTGCTGATTGGTCCATTTTTACAGAGTGCTGATTGGTGTGTTTGCAAACCTTTAGCTAGACACGGAGCTCTGATTGGTGCATTTTTACAGAATGCTGATTGGTGCATTTACAAACATTTAACTAGACACAAAGCACTGATTGGTGCCTTTATAATCCTCTAACTAGACAGAAAAGTTCTGCAAGTCCGCACCCGACCCAGAAGCCCAGCTGGCTTCACCTCTCAAGAAGATTGAATGGCTTGAGTTAGTTTATTACAACAAATAATATCAGAAAGAGAGACGGTGGATTCCTCTGTTGATATATAATACGTTATGAAATTTACAAGGAGTTAATCAATAATTACCATAGAGGAAAAATATACTGTGGATGGAGTAGATATTGAAAAATTTCCAGAGCCTCTTGGTATAGTCTTGAGTATTTGTCCCCACCCAAATCTTATTTTGAGACAGAGTTTAGCTGTTGCCCAGGCTGGAGTGCAGTGGCATGATCTCAGCTCTGTGCAACCTCCGCCTCCTGGGTTCAATCTATTCTCCTGCCTCAGCCTCCTGTGTAGATGGGATTACAGGTGCCCACCACCATGCCTGGCTAATTTTTGCATTTTTAGTAGAGGTGGGATTTCCTCATGTTGGCCAGGCTGGTCTCGAACTCCTGACCTCAAGTGATCCGCCTGCCTTGGCCTCCCAAAGTGCTGGGATTACAGGCATGAGCTGTCCCTGCCCAAATCTCATGTTGAATTGGAATGCACAATGTTAGAGGTGGAGCCTAGTAGGAAGTGTTGGGTTATGGGGGTGGATCCCTCATGGCATGATGCTGTCCTTGCAATAGTGAGTGTGTACCTGTGAGACCTGGTTGTTTTAAGTGTGTGGCACCCCTTGCCCTGACTCTCTCTTGCTCCCAGGCTATCATGTGAGATGCCTGCTCCTGCTTTGCTTTCAGTCATGAACAAAAGCTCCTTGTGGCCTCTGCAGAAGCTGAGCAGATGCTGGTGCCATACTTCTTGTACAGCCTGCAGAACCATAAGCCAGTTAAACCGTTTTTCTTTATAAATTATGCAGTCTTATGTATTTTTTTTATAGGAATGCAAGAACGGCCTAACATACCTTTTAATTCAAACCATAATGTGTTATAACTGTTCTTAATTAGCAAAAGTAGTTAAACCTAGAAACAAAATTTTAATTAAAAAATCCATTTGTTGGAAGTTATTATGTCAGTCTTACAAGACCGTTAGTTTATTCTTTCCAATCTGAGAGATACTAAATTCTAAAACATATTCAGATTAATAATATTTTACTTGTATGTCATTAATTTAGGGAGGTTATGCTTCTCTTCTGATATGCTAGCTCATTTATTCTTGCAGGCTTTGATAAATAGTGCGAAGGTAAGTAAAAATGTGGAGACTTTCAAATATATTCAACTATACCTAGTAATTCTTCTTTTTCAAAATGTGGGAGTGGGGGACAAATCTTTGAAATTATTCAATCTGGAAAATTCTAAAGATTAGGTTATAAAGGATAAATTATTTTGAATGGGGGCCTAAATTGGGAAAGGTGATATCCAAAATATTTTTCAAAGGAAACAAGCTATAAGCTGAAGTCATAGGTGTGTGAAGACAAGAAATGAATGACTTCTGACGAGAAAGAAAATAACCACAGAAGCATATAACTAATTATTCAAAATCCTAACTTTTTCAGAGTGGACTTTTGTTAAAATTGTTTCAAGAATGAATAAAGAAAGCACAAAGAATTAAGAGGCTACTGAGTAAAGAGAAGGCATAGAATGGTTTGTACTGTTTCTTGCTAACAAACTGTTACACAAAGACCAATTTATCATTTCACAGGAAGAAAACTAAAATCTAGTTTTACTCTTTTTGTATTCTATACATGTAATGTTTTCCTTTAAAGGATTCACAAATTTTGTATTGGTCTCTGGGGTCCAAAATTAGTCTCCTCTTTTCTATGTAAACCAACAAGCATTTCCCTTATTTTATAAATGCATTTGCACTTCTTTGTAAGTGCTTGTACCTAGTGTAGTCTTAATCTCTTATATTGGTTTCAACTTTGAAGTAACTTACTTCCCCCAGCAGGTATGGAGGCATCTGGGAAGCAGGTTGCTGAAAATAGTCTATCAACAC